GGATATGTGGAGATAGAAAATTGATACTCCAGGGATTTGCAGGTGTCTCATGGTTCAAAGCATCCTTTATCATTGCTAAATCAGCCAAACCAGTACAAAATTGAGTGCAAGAAAAATACCAATTCACGTCGGCTTTGCCAGCAATACAAAAGGGACGGTCCTGACATTTGCAGCCAGGTGGGAATTTGGCTTTGGGGGAACATTCCGACATTCAAAAGGTGCCACAAAATCGTTGGAGCTCTGTTTTCTAACGGGAAATGTCGTTTTTACAGAGGTCACCTACTGCTCAGTGGTGGTGGAGGGAGGGACAGGAAGGAGTTGGTGCTGCCCTTGAGCTGAGCCCTGCCCTGGAGCAGCTCCTGCAGGGGGACAGGAGCCTTTCCCGGGATCCCAGGCTCCTCTGGCCTCACCCAGACATCTCCTACGCTCCAAAGGATGCTCCAGCATTTCCCAGAACACATTCCAGACCGGTTGGAGAGGAAGAGGAAAGTCGTGTTTCATGAAGGCACAACCATGCTGAACTGGCAGGAAGGAGGGAAGAGAACAAAAGCGGTACTGCGCAACGCAGTTATAGTACAAGGCTCATTCTTGAAACCTGAATATCATGCTAGAAGAAAATCTAGATATGTGTAATATTTTGAAGTATTTTGAAGGCAATATTATTCAATTTTTTTTTTACTCAAAAAAGAACGAATGTTTTTTGTGTAAGTTTGGATAGAATGCTAGTTGAGGAGGGAACTGAATGTTTGTATTGCAGCCTTAAAGAAGCACATTTTTACTGCAATATCCTTTTTTGTAAACTACAGTCTGCGAGTCAGCAGACCATGACTGAATGCTTCTGAAAACTTGTCGATTACAAACATGAAATCACAATTAATATCCTCTAAAAGTAATTTCAGAGTTCTCACGTCTTAAAAAAGGACAATGTGTACTGCTCCACAAGGTAATGCAGCTAATCAAAAAAAAGGAGTCGAATTAAAGTATTTACATAATGAGCAATTCTACAGAAGGCGATCATCCCCATGTAAGCACTGATTATATCCCACGCCGCTTTTAACAAACTCTACCAGATTGGATCCAGTCATCAGCACTTTCAGAGAATCCTTAAAAGCCTTTTATGGGTCTTTACATTTAGTGCAGAAGGATGTTCTTCAGGTAGAATATGCTGCTGAGGGAGGAGAGCGTCAGCACCAGGGACCAGCAGGAGAAGAGCACCTCGGCGTGCCCGGTGATGCCGTACTGGGCTGTGCTGGGAGCTGCAAGGCAAGCACAGGGGTCAGTGGCAATTCCCTCTCTCAGACCTCCACATTCCACCCTTCTCCATGGGTAAGGACACTTTCCCTCTCTGGGCAGCAGCGGGATTGCTCTGGGCAGCAGATGAAGGCTGTGAGCACACCCAGCCCTGCTGCCACCCTGCCCAGGGAACAGCCCTGCTCGCTCCAGCAGCTGGAATTGTTTTTAAGGCAAGCACTTGGAAACGGGAGTGCTTCGTTTTTAACCAGCTGAATAATCGATCCATTTTTAGGTTACTGAGCATGAAGATCTGCAGTGCAATCAATGAGAGGGGACTGGATGAAGCCCTCGTGGGAAACAGCTCATTTTCTGCCCAACTCCAGAAGCCAGAGTTTGACAATGGTGCTCAGCTAAAGACATTAATACTCATTTGGAAGAAATTGTATTTATTTGTTTACCACAAAGCCCTTCTCGAATTCCTGGGCAAATGCACACAAAGTGCAAAGAGAAAGAAATCAGTGCTGAGGAGCAAGGGAGGGGCTGGTCCCTGGGACTGGGAATGTCCCAGCTGTGCCTCAGGGATGCACCTGGCAGAAACCCTGTCCTGACAGGACAAGGGGCACGGCATTAAGCTCGATGAAAGTTGATTTAAATGGGATATTGGGCAGGAATTGTTCCTGGCAGGGTGGGCAGGCCCTGCAAGAGAATTCCCAGATTTGCAGTGGCTGCCCCTGGATCCCTGGCAGTGCCCAAGGCCAGGCTGGACACTGGGGCTGGAACAGCCTGGGACAGTGGGAGGTGTCCCTGCCATGGCAGGGGTGGCACTGGGTGGGTTTGAGGTCCCTCCCAACCCAAACCATGCCAGAATCCTGTGAAACCCATGGCTTTGCTCTTGGAAAGGGAGCACAAGGAGCTGCTCCCTCACCCTGCGCCAAATCCTCTTTGCTTTCCCAGCGTGCAGCCTCCCAGTCCCGAGCCCTGTTCAGCCCAAATCCTGGATCAAATCCCAACCACCAACATCCCCTTGGTTTCTGTACAGCCCCCTGCAGCTCCACGTCTGGTGTGTGACATTTCACTTGGCGCAGAGAGTGTGACACAACCCCAAATCCTCTGCTTCCCCCCCGTGCAGAAGGGCTCAGGTAATCAACCCAAAACAAAACAAGATTAAACTTGGTTTTGAAGCTTAGTTTGGTGACTGATGACTGTGACTAACTGCAGGCCAGGGCCCTTCCCCTCCTCTCATTCCAAAAGGACTTTCTGTGCTAAGTCAGGATGACAAATCAACCTTTAATTTATTACGAGGGCCGGGTGGGGAAGCTGAAGCATAACACAGGTGCTATTTCATTTTATGCTATGAAGAGAGTTTCCCCAACTTAAGGATAATTTGAACTACAGTAGCAATAAAAGCCAGTGGAAAATTATGTAAATCTGATTTCCTGCATATGAACCAGCTCTGTCTTTCCAGGGCTTATTAAATCATACCTGGATTGTTTCTGCACAAAGGCAAGAGGGGAGTTAATGGGGGGAAAATGCACTGACTTGGGAGATAATAGAAAAGTTACAGTTCCCAAAGCTGCCTAAGCAGGAGAATTGGATGGAAAAGAAACCTGAAGGAGAAGCAAAGCTGGAGAAGCTTAATTATCAATTATGATGTCACACGAGGCCTACTGGATGACACATAGTTTAGAATATTGGCTTAGACTCTTAAAAATCCTTAAAAATTAATAATCTCCTGCAGATTTTTTCTTCTCCCCTTCAGAATTTTGATTAACTTTTCCTGTGGCTCCCTGAATTCATTGCTGGCCAAGCAAATTGCTGTTGCTGGATATTAATAAAATTTCATAGCTTTGTGCTGATGTACAAACTTTTAAAATAAACACACCTTTAAAATTGAAAGACTCTTAGCATGGTCTGCTCAGTCCTTGATCTACTCTGGGTAATTATTTTGGTAAGGACTGAGCAGTCTTTGCTTTCCTGTGCAAGGCCATGCAAGGTCACTTTGTTCTTGGACTTGGTATTTTTCAAAGCACTACAGGATGGTTCCAAAAGTGTCAGACTAAGCCCCAAGTTTAGGGGAAAATGAGAAGGTTTAAATGTTGGAGAGCAGCACAAACCAGCTGCCTTTCTTTCCCCTGCTGAAATATTACCATGCCATTGTTTCACACACACACACACACACACACACACACACACACACACACACACACGAGCTCCCAGTCTTAATATTTATGCAGGGAGGTAATGGTGGAGGAATGTGTGATTAGGCTTTAAATAAAAGCTGGAATTATTAGAGTCTGTGATTACACCTGCAGCCATGCTGGGCATTTCCACAGGCCCCATCCCCAGCGTGACACAGAGCTGATTTCAGAGGGTTTGGAGAGTTTTGGGTGCCCAGAGGGAAGGAGAGCTGTGCCCAGGGAGGTTTGGGCTCCTCTGAAAAATGTGTATTTTATGATTGGCTTTTTGCAAATATTAAAATGAATGTTATATGTGTTGTGTTAGAAAGTTATGCTGTATTAATTCTCTTAAGTAGTGTGTTAAATGTAGTTTTAGGTTATAACAAAATGTTAAAATAGAAACAATGCTATGTAGGTTACTTTTTTAAAAGAAAGGGCTTGCAGTGAGATAGCAGCCACAGGACAGCTGAATCTTTCAGAGAAAGAGAATTTATTGCTCCATTATCAGAAGAAATGAACTTCTTCCTGGCTCAAAGGCGCTGTCAGGATTCAGAGGAAGAAGGTGACACTGCCCTGACAGAATCCTGTGTTTGAATGGAATTTATGCATCATGTATGAGGTGTAAGAATATGCAACAGGCTGATGCTTTTAAGGGTTAATCCTTTGTTAATGTGTGTCCTTTTTCAGGTTTATTTTACCCAGTAAAGGTACCCAGACTGCCCCTAACTCTTTGTTTTTATTGTCTCATATTGTCCTAATCCAAATTGTCCTAATTATCATTAGTCTAATTGTATTACTATTTTATAACCATTTTATTACTATTAAACTTTAAAAATTTTACAAACAAGTGATTGGTGTTTTTCACAGCTCCCCATCCCCAGGGGCATCTCAAAGTGCATGTGACACTTGGGGACATGGCCCAGGGGTGGCCTTGGCAGTGCTGGCCATGGTTGGACTCCCTGCTCTGGGAGGGCTTTTCCAACCTAAACAATTCCATGACTTTATGATCTGGTGCTGCAAATTCAGAGCCCGTGGGGGTGACACCTTGACATGACTGAGAAGAAAGCGAATTTCCATCCAGGAAAAGATTAAAATGAGCTCCACGAGCAGCCTGATGTCTGAAATACCAAATGACCCAGGATTTACAGGGCACAATGAGTTTAAAATGTCAGCTGCAGCCACTGAGGGGCAATAATTTACTTTTGTGCTGCTGTGTAAGTCAAATTTTGCTCAGAGCCAGAGTGGCTGCATCCCTCTGGGAAAGGGAAAGGGAAAAGGAATGGGGACACACTCAGAGCATCACCAGGGCTGGGAAGGGACCCACAGGGCCTGGGGGTGGAAACTGAGGTTGGAGGGGACCTTCAATGTCCCCTCAGGGTGAGGAGAAATCCCTGCCTGGCCGTGGCACACCTCGCATGCCCACGTGCCTTTTTTGAGCTCTGCTTTCTTCCAATTTAGGGATTATTGGACCTAATCCTAATGTTTTACACCAGCCGGCACTCGTGGAAATATTTAAGACACCCTTAGCACAGATAGGATTATATTCAGACATCTCTCCTGGTGCTGAATAGAAAGGAACAAAGTGATATTATATCAGTATCTCTAATTAATACAAGAGATTAGGAGAAGTGCTATGCTGGAACACACAAACCAGCATTTCCTAGCACCAAGGGCTGCATTAACCAGAAATAATTATAAGCTTTAATGCTGATGCTGTGTAGACAAAAGCAGAGACCCCTTTAGGTTGTCTGAATAAGCAAGACTAATTCTGTTAAATGGATTATGCAGGGAGATGTTAATAAGCATTTCATTTAACCATATTCAGGTTAATCATTTACTAAAGGAAAGCCTTAATAAATTGGATTTTTTGGTGCAACGTTTAAAACATACAGAGAGAGAAGGAATAAACTAACTCAAGGTCAGAGCAGTAAGGCAAAAAGAAAGATGAGAAAGCCTAGGCTGTCAAATAAGGTTCTTTTAGAAGAAAAGATGGGGAGATAATGGGCCTCAGAAGGCTGGGGCGAGGCCCGGGGATAACATCTCTACATTTTGTTCCACTTGAAGCTGCTGGAGGATTTATGGCTGTGCAGGAGGAGGTGGGCAGTCTGTGAAGGCTCTGTCAGGGAGCAGCAGTGGTGATGGGCACAGGGTCCTGCAGAGCTGGAACCAGCCCCCATGGCAGGGGGAATGGGCAGCACAGAAACCTCCTTGGTCCAAGGCAAAACTTGGCCTTGGGAGAACAAAATCTCCAAGCCTTGTCTGAAAATGGATCAGGGGATTTGTTTAGTCTCATGCAAATGCAATCGTGCTGAGGCTGAGGAGCTGCACGGGATGGGAGAGGCAGGAGTGAGGTAAATGGATCACTGAATTCCAGCTGGAGGCTGGAGCTAAACAGAGCCTTGGCCACGATGGCAGCACCTGGAGAAGGCTGGGAGATTCAGACGTGTGGAAATGACTCTGGAGCAGGCATGGGGGCGTGGAGGTTCTCTCCAGCCTCCTGTTCCTCTGTCCTGGCCTGCTTCAAAACATCCCTCCTGTGCTGGGGGCAGCTCTGGGCACTCCCAGCCCTGGGGTCAGTTCTGGGTCAGTTCTGAGTCAGCTCTGGGTCAGCTGTGGGGCAGTGCTGGGGTCAGTTCTGGATCAGCTCTGGATCAGTGCTGGATCAGCTCTGGATAGGATTTTAGGGAGAATTCCTCCCTGGAAAGGCTGCCCAGCCTGGCACAGCAGCCCAGGGCAGGGCTGGAAGCTGCAGGGATGAGGATTCTGGCAGGAATGTCCTGTGAGCTCCCTCTCCCACAGCATCCTCCCCAGGAGCTGCCCCAGCCCAGGGCACAGATTGGCTCAGC